ATTATATAACATATAATCTGAGAATATAACATACAATTATATAACATATAATCTGAGAATATATCATATAATTATATAACATATAATCTGAGAATATAACATATAATTATGTGACATATAATCTGAGAATATATCATATAATTACATAACATATAATCTGAGAATATATCATATAATTATATAACATATAATCTGAGAATATATCATATAATTATATAACATATAATCTGAGAATATATCATATAATTATTTAACATATAATCTGAGAATATATCATATAATTATGTAACATATAATTCCAGCTAACGTAATACGGCGATTCAGCACAGGTAGAAATAACATCAAAACTTTAAATAAAAACATCGCACTAACACTGGTATGGTTAGGTTAGAATACGGTGATATTCAGCCATCTTATCAGGAGCTCAAAATGTTTTACAATCCAACAAAGATGATGACATATGTTCGTGGGAAACATTGTTATTCAAGTTAGAAAGCCAACGCTAAACTACTGACAACAGACGTTACTTCTGAAGTTTAAATTTTAGCTCATAGACACATCAATAGATGAGTCGGTTCTTACTCTTATGTGTGGGTTAATTCACACTATAATCCGGGTTTCGGTTATAACTACACTATTTATACCCTGAGAAATGTGTCTGTAAAACATGAAAGAAGATATAACCAATTCTTAACATTTTATCTTACCGGCTCAACCTATCGACAGAAACTTTTACACAAACTAACATTTTATCTTACCAGCTAAACTAAACCTTTGAACAGAAACTTAAAAACAAACTAACATTTTATCTTACCAGCTAAACTAAACCTTTGAACAGAAACTTGAAAACAAACTAACATTTTATCTTACCGGCTCAACTTTTGGACAGAAACTTTTACACAAAGTAACATTTTATCTTACCGGCTAAACTAAACCTTTGAACAGAAACTTGAAAACAAACTAACATTTTATCTTACCGGCTAAACCAAACCTTTGAACAGAAACTTTTACACAAAGTAACATTTTATCTTACCGGCTAAACTAAACCTTTGAACAGAAACTTGAAAACAAACTAACATTTTATCTTACCGGCTAAACCAAACCTTTGAACAGAAACTTGAAAACAAACTAACCTCTTCCCTTAAGGTTAGATTTTTCGGTAACAGCCTCGAGTGTGTGCGCGTATGTGTGTTTGTTATAGCAAAGCCACATCAGACTACCTGCTGTGTCTACCGAAAGCAATCGAACCCCTGATTTTAGCGTTGTAAATCCAAAGACTTACAGCCTCGAGTTCATCCATGTAATTCAGTATTTATCAACATATATACACACAAAAATGCATTAATCTACTTACAATACGACCTTTACAAGTTTTTCTTCATAACGTGCGTGTAATACTTGAAGGAAACGAGATCGGAAAAAAAACCTTCTATTAATAGAATATTTAGTTTTCTTGGTAATTTATCAGCTTCATTAATAACAAATTTCCAATTACGAATTTAACGTAGTGATTGAACAATACAGTGTGTTTATATCTTCACAATTCCAAGTGTAAAAAAAATTAAACCTGAACAGTTGAAACTCGGGGTTTCCATATTTAATAACAAATATTCAAAGTTTTCAAATCACCTACTTTTACAACTTTCGTTGAGCCAAAGCCTCACTTATCTTAATTCAACGTTCCCACGTCGTTACTATTACTTACTTTACTAATATTAGAATTAATTGGTAGTAATATTTTTTTAGTATTGGATGACCTTACATTCCCAGTTCTAACTTATTCAGTAAGGTATGACCTCACATTGTCAGTACTAGCTTATCCAGTATAGACGACCTTATATTACCAGTTCTAACTTATCCAGTACACACGAT